TCCTCGTCTAGAATCTTTAAAAAGGTCTGGCCAATATTAGTAGCGACATTTTTGCTGAACGGTGGGTTGTACCAGGTTATATTTCGTTTCCGACTCCTTGAGTTGATGGTATTTTGGGATGTCGGAGGTTGTTGGTATTTCAATTTATGTCGATAACCGCTCTTTGTTAGGGCTTCTTGATATAATGGCACTGCACGCTGAAACGAGTCTTCATCAGATGAAATTTCAGAAAGGCGTTTGTTGATCGCTGCTGGTATGTTGTCTAGTATTTTGGGTGGATGGTTTGATTTGTTGTGGACGTAAAGTGGAATATTGTTGGGTTTAGTGAACGGCTGATACTTTTGGGTAGACAGATTCAGGGTGACGTCTAAAAAATCTACTATTTTCTTGTTGGCTTCGATGGTAATTTTTAAGCCATGATTGTTGAAGATGGAACAGATATCTTTTTTGATAATTTCAATTATACGGGGGGTTGCTTTTATAACACCAAGCCCGTCATCTCGATAGAGGCCGAAATTCTCAAAAAAAATTATATTGATATAATATTAAAATATCGAAATTATATCGAAATTATATTGATATAATATTACGTGCGGGGATTTCAATATATGCCTCCCCGGGTTTTGGCCCTCTGGGACCAAAACCTTGCGGGCCAATTAATCCTGAGGATGACTACAAACTAGTCGAAACGTCGATTAAAAATGAAAATGTTATTTGGAGTTACTGTTATTTTGTATTATGCCATATTTTACTTTCTATATTTTAACACAATAAGTATCAAATACGGTCTGTTTCATCTTTTTGCTCGCGTGAAATTAAACTAGATACTTTGGTTTGTTTAATAGGGCTTCAGGAACTCAACTCTGAAAATGAAAATTCTTTCTCTGATTGCAAACAACTAGATTCTAAGGATTTAATGAACGATGGAAGCACAACAAGTTCTGTATATTTGGAAAGTGATGATCATGATAATGTAGTGCCCATGCTGGGGTTGACCCATGATGAAATCACTTCAAGCATAGATATGGGGATTAACCCCCCTGGAAAGAAGCCAGAGCGACAGTTGCAAAGATCTGTCAGAATGAGCAGTGATATAGTAAAATTTATTTCTAAGAGAAAGAAATACTCACAAGAGCTAAGTAAGCAACTTCAAAAGCTTTTTGCCGTGGTGTCGTTGATGCCTGAAGAAAGTCTAATAAAAGTTACCAAGAAGCCAGGTTCGAGATTTATCAAAGACTGGAGTAAACAATGCTGTTCTATTGTGGAAACATTTTGCGGTCGTTTTGGTAAGGAGTGTTTTGAACTGAGAGAATCGAGCTCAGTGCGGAAACGTTTACCAAAACTTGGTGGTATGTTACGGTCGACTACCGCAGCGTATTGGATCGAAGCTAACAACACGAAGTTGGCGATTATGACTGAACAGAGTGAGCGAGACCAGGTTTTGACGAAAGTGAGAGAGTTTCTGCAGAATACTAGAGATGATGGTAAGGAGTGATGGACACTGGTGATGGATGATGATAGTGATGGTGGTGATGATTGTGAAGATGATGATGATTTTTTATTTATTTAATTGATTTTTCGCACAGGATAGTATTTAGCTACAAGAATAGTAATTATGTAAAATAAGTGTAATACCTAGAGGTCTATTAGAAACCTGGACGTGCAGGCTTTTGAATTAAGACCCCTAGTTGATAAAGAATTGATTAATTAAATTATTTACAGTCAAGTGTTTAGAAGAAAAAAAAATATAACAAATAACTAATACCCATATTCCAAAAATATACTTAAAATGTTTTTATATATAGGAGAGTGATTATTTACTATATATACAGCTATTTGTTACAAATAGAGATTTTCAATTTGTTTTTGAAGACAATGAGTGAATTGATTGATTTTAAATGAGTGTCAAGCTTATTCCAAATATCAACACCTTTACTAGTAAGAGAATGATTGACATAATTTGTTCTTCTATACTTTTTGTGAAGATTGGAAGCATTTCTAGTTTTATTATCATCATGATCATCATCATGTTGATAATCACCATCATCATCATCATCATCATCATCATGGTCATTGATAATCGTCACCATCATTCACCATCGTGATCATCGTCATGTTGATAATCACCATCATCATCATCGTGCTGGTGATGATGGTGGTGATAATTATGGTGCTAATGCTCGTGGAAATAGTGATGTAGTAGTACTAGTGGTGGTACTGGCGATGGTGATGATAATTGTATAATATCAAAATAATTATAAAGATCGTGGTTTGAAAGTGGTCAAATGTAAGCCACTTAGTATGTTTTGTTTGTTTTTCAAAGGATTTCAAGAATACAAAAGGAAAAGCAGAAGTGATCGAAGTGACTGGAGAAAACCGACAGAATGCGATGCGGCCAGAAACACGGTAATTGTTGATGAAACAAATTCGCTCAATTTAGTAAACGACGAAGCAAGATTTGTCCAGAGAGTTGGAATTGTTTCTAGAAAATGTTTTAAAATTGAAAAATCCATTCGTGCGTTAGTTGAGGAGGATTTACCAACACTGAAGGAAGCTCTCACATTCTGTAATATTAAATTGGAGAAAGAAACACTGGTGGTGGTTTGTTTGAGAAATGAAAATAACAATGTCGTGGAGAAAGTTGAAAGCTTCCTTCAAAAACGCAAAAAAATAAAGCGAGCTGATGGTAATGTTCGATATTTTGTTTTGGCGTATTATATTACACTGCATTGCATTGTATTGTATTGTATTCTATTATATTATACTGTATTCTATTTTATTCTATTGTGTTCTATTTCCCCATATGATGTGTTGAAACGTCAATGCTCTATAAACTCTATAACAAGCTGTAATACTTCTCCATATTTTATTATATTTATTTAGTAGTCACAAGCAAAGCTCAAAGACCTAGGATAAGAAGCCTACTTTCAATACCATTTCACTCTAAAGCAGATGAGGATGGTGGTACGAGTTTTGTAAATTGGCGAAACAAAAACGATGCAGAATCCATGACCTCCCGAAGCGATGACACACGGCGTAGGCCAATAAAACTAGAACCAGTCTCTGTGAGATTAAACAACGACCTTGTAAAATTTGTAATGAACAACCCAACATTCACTCAAGAACTGACAGAACAACTCGAAAAACAAAATGGAGAAGTCCAATGGAAACCTGGCATCCCTTTTGTTACTGTTGTACAAAAATCTGAGTACGGTTTTGTTTTTAAATGGTCTGAAACGTGCAAGAGTTTGGTTACCAAATTTTTCCAACGCTTTCGTAAGGAAAGTTATACAATTCAAGAAGATATACAAGAGTCAGTTCGCAAAGGACTTGAAGGACTCAAAGAAACTATAAGTCCTTCGGGAGCGGATTGTTGGCTTGCATCGAACAACCGGTGGTTAGTATTGGTTAGCTTAAAAGACAACCTTCCCTCTATTATCAAAGTTGTTGAAGGTTTCTTACAAAATGTAAAGGAAGAAAACGAGAAGCTAAAAGAAATTGTGAAGTTTGTTGAAGTTTCAACTGATCATATCGACTATCTAGAGCATACACAGTTTCTGAGTACACTAAAGCAAAGTCATTCTGCGTTAGCTGAAGCGACGTTTACTGAAGCTAGGAATCAGATATGTTTCGTAGGGTCAGATGAAGATGTTTCGGCTGCTAAACAGCAATATGAGAGTCTAGTTAAAGAATTGAATGTTATTGAAGTAGAGCTACCTACTGAAGCTATGAAGTTCGTATCTCAAAATAAAGGGATGGATTTTATTGAGAAGTGTTTGTCCGAACGCGAAATTGTCTCTGTAATTCTGGTAGAGTCTAAATCTAGCGTGAAAGTTGTCGCAAGGTCGCCGCAAGAATGTGAGGCTGTTAAGGAATGCCTGTGTAGCAACGTACGCGAGGCAATGATAATTTTACCAGCAACGAATGAACATATCTTCACCTCAAAGAAATGGTATGACATCTCTAAAACCATCGATTCAGAAGAGCTGGTTGATTACCAGATTAGTTTTGAGGGTGGAACCAAACGAGATATTAAACTTCATGGCGCTACCCATCTTGTCGAAAGATATGAAAAAACAGTTACAGATTTCATCAACTCACAGAAAATCGTATGTTACGTAATGCATACCCCCCCTGGCATTGCTCGTTTCATGAAGGAGAAATTAGGAGAAGAACTAGGAAAGATAGAAGCGGACCTCAGAGACGAACAAGTTAAGATTGAGATAGGTTCAGCGAAACTCGAGTGCACTGGTACAAAGGAAGGAATACATGAGAGCAAGAGGCGTATTATGGACCTGAGGGGTAATATTAGCACAAGATCTAAAGAATACTCTTCAATCGGTGTAGACAAGTTATTTTTCAGTAAAGATGGTCAACGAAATATCAAGGGCATAGAAGCTGGAAGTAATGTAAAAGTTGAAGTGGTGAAATGTTTGGAAGGTGTCGAGAAAGAATCAAACCATTTCGATGTTGAAGCAATACGAGCAGAACGAGAAAAGAGAGAGATAAAACAAGTTCCAGCAACTCCATTGGATCCATTTGATCAATCTAACTTTACAACCAGGGAAGGTCTTAACGTTTCGTGGAAATATGGTAATATTGCAAAAGAAAGAGTGAGTATATTACTATCTTAATTAAATGATTGATTACAATTGCGTCTGAACTACCTGAAAAAGATGAAGTCGAAGTCGAAGTATTTTTGACCAGTTAAATGATTTATTACAATTGCGTCTGAACTACCTGAAAAAGATGAAGTCGAAGTCGAAGTGTTTTTGACCAGTTGCTTAGGCGCAAACGATAGCAGATTATTGTGGAATACCAACTACATTGGACTAATGATGACTTTGAAATAAAGTCGAAAATTGCAGTCTCAAAAGCTCTTCTTGTGTGTTATTTAAATCATGAATTTCAGTACTGTTCATCGTATAATACTACTATTTTATATCCAGGCTGATATTCTGGTCAGCTCTGCAGTCTCTAATCTTAACAATCTAACAATGGTCGGACGAGTATTGAATTCATTTGGTGGATCTTCCTATATGGCCGCGTGCAGTCAGCACACTAATATTGGGACTGGGGATATTGCGACCACCATTGGTGGAAATCTTGCATGTAGTTACGTCATACATGCAGTGTGCTGTGGTTGGACGTTTGGAGGCAGAGCTGAACAAGTACGTAATATAGGTTCAACTTGCCTGCATCATCTAACCATGCTTAGCTCAACTATATTGACTTCTATACTCCATCAAATCACTGTGAGGTAGTCCAAAAACATGTACGTCACTAGCCATGTTTAACTCGCAGTTACTTACGTCGAATATCAGGTCACTATACGGCAGTCTAAAATGAAGAACATGTACTACTCTTGCATTATTTAGCATTTTAGCCATTCTTATTTTAACTAGAAATACATGCAACCCCTCGCCTCTCCTCATAGAAGAAGTACATATATTCCGCATGAAATATTATGGGTGAATATAATATACTTCTGGAGGCAGAGCTGAACAAGTAAATAATATAGGTTCAACTTACTGCATGTTTTTTATGTTTGAGTCACTCTAAGGTTGTTAACATTCAAGCACATTTACCACGTCTGCATTGTCTAACCATGTTTATTTTAAATACTCAGCAGTGACTTATCTAGAATATTAGGTCACGGTACGGTAATTCAGCATAACGACTTCATTGTGAACTACCGTACAAGTGAAGAAATGTAATACTCTATTTAGCCTTTGTACATTATTTAGCCATTCTTATTTTAAGCTTTGTGTAACATCTGATTAGTTTAGGGCAGCTGACATTCAAGGATATGTATTGCGTGATCTAAATGATCTAATCATTATCAACTCCACGTTGTGATCGATTCTGACTAAATCAAATCACTTTTGGGCATCCCACATTCCAGAACATGATAGTTTTTAAATTCATTGAAGTTGATAAATTTATTTTATTACTCTTCAGACACTTCGCAACCTTCTCCTTAAAATTCTCATGGATTGTAATGGACGTTCAGCACGGTCTGTGGCCATGCCACTGATTGGGACAGGAAAACACAAGTTTCCTGAAGATGTTGTACTACGTGTGATGAAAGAAGAATTCGAGAAATTCAGCTCGATGTATCCGCAGAGCACGTTGAAGGAAATCAAGTTGGTACGATATGACCAGGGTGTCAGAAGAAAGATCGTTCAAACGCAATCAATAATGGGTGAGTTATAGAGCGCCTTAACTGCCTTGTTTCTCATACAAGAATACACCAAGAAACATTGTTTTCTGGTCAAAGCAAGAGACATTGTTTCCTAGCTGAGAAAACCAGGAAACCGATCGTTCCTCGCCATGGTTCTTGTAGTAAGCAAACTAGGAAACATAGCTTAGTTTGCT